TGGTACCTTACCCACTCGAAAAATTGTTCATCAATCATCATCATCAACAGCCTATAATAGTCCACTGCTGGACATAAGCCTCTCCTTAGAAAGCAGGTTTTGTCCTACTATACCACGCTGGCCAGACGGGTTGGTATAGGGTTTGTTTCAAGTTTTCCTTCTTTTTGCAGTGCTGTTGTCCTGCGCAGTTTGTTCCCTTAGTCGGCTCTTACGACACCCACGGGATGAATAGGGGTGGTGACATTCCGTATTCTCAATCCGTCACCAAACGGATAGAATTGTTAAGCATCGTTTTTTTATTAGGCGGTCTCTAGTCGATCATGTGGCGCACCATCTCTTCCACAGTTAAATCGATTTCATTTCGTAAAGATGCGTGGGTGTGCTGGATCTCAATTGTTGTATAAGTATTTTATTGACAGACTTGCTGAGACCCGCGGGTGTTACTCGCGTTTGTTGTTATAACCGCGGGCAACGCCGCGGGGCGAAGCTAGTCTAAAAAAAGTAGCCTAAGTTACTCCTTATGTCATCAGCTATCTGCCAGTGAAAGTCCCGTCGAAATCGGTCCAGCCGTTCCAGAGACTACCCGGAACAAACAGACAGACAGACAGACAAAAATTGTAAAAAATGTTATTTTGGCATATGTACCGTGTAAACATACATGCATTTAGTAAAAAGCGGTTATTTTAATATTACAAACAGACACTCCAATTTTACTTATGTAGTATGGCGTAGTGGTTTGTGTAACAGACTGCTATTCCAAAGGTCGCGGGTTCGATTCCCGCTCAAGTCAAACATTTGTGTGCATTAACATTTAATGTTTGATTTGGTCTGGGTGTTTCTATGTATAATAAGTATGTATTTACAAAAAAAAAGTATATATGTATTTATATCAGTTGTCTAGTACCCATAGTACAAGCTCTGCTTAGTTTGGGACTAGATGGCGTTGTGTGAATGTGGTAGAATAAGAATATTAGAATATTAGAATAGATATTAGTAAAAGTATAGTTATTATATTATAAGATATCTTGAAAAGCGCCCACTCTTTTTATGATTAAATGATTGTTCGTTTTGATGTTATAGATTTTTTTTTCAACTTTTTAGTTTGTTTACTTACAAAAGCGTGTGTTTTTTTAGTTTTTTAAACTATTTTATTTTTGCTTTTTTACTCATTAATGATGATTTTCTCATTAACAATAAAAAGCACACGCGTCTTAGTACGTAGCAAAAGACACTACCGTATTTTTAGGTATGGAAAAAGCCGGTAATCCTGAAGATCCTGATCAGGATAATCGGCCAAATTTATCAAATTATTGTATTGTTCGTCCTTGATAAGTTTGCGAAGTTTCAAGTTAGTTCGACGTTTTGAAGTGGGTCAAAATCAGACATACATACCAAGCTAATGGCTAGCGGCGGTAGCCTAGTGGTTAAGGCATTGGACTTGCAATCAAGAGGTCATGGGTTCAAATCCTGACCAGTATACTACCGACGTGAACCCACTCCTAACACAAGCAATTTGCTTAGCTGGAAGGGTTAACGGGAATACTAGTAATTTTGGTTGCTAGTAAAGTTTAAAAAAGCTAAATAAGAAAATAAAAAATTGTGTGTTTGCTATTCAAGCGAAACTGCCGATTTTTTTATATCAGAAAACCCTACAAAACTTTGCCCGGCCCGGGAATCGAACCCACTAAGGCAGCGTTTTTCAAATTCCGTGTTACATAAAGATTAAAATATTCACACTGTCAAAATATTATATTAAAAATAATGTGTAATGTATTGTATCTCATTCTCTCGCCGACTTTATCCTATACATTTATGTGTTTGTTTCTTTATCGTGACGCATTTTCGTTTCATCGAGTTTCAAATCACAACGATTCTATAGAAGTTTCCCTTTTTTTTTTGTGATTTAAAATATTAAACTGGTTTTTAGGGATAGGTATCGTGCTAACTTCGTTAAATTAATTAATTAAAAATAATAATTCCTTTATTACCTACTTCGTCCAATCTCTACATATATCTATATATAGTTTTTTATTTAATTTATATTTTTTCTATGGCAAGTTTAGAAAAGGTAGGAATGCGTTTTGTTAACAACATTTGAACTTTCAGTTATTGCAGTTGTAACAGTTCTTTGAGAAGAATTGTCTGTTTGTATGTTATCACCCCTTTTTTTTTTTTCCCGTGCGGAAATCCCCTCGGATACCACCTATCGGTGGCATGTCGGACTCGAACCGACTAAAACCGCACGCCGTCTCGGGTACTAATAGCCGGGGAACCAGGTATATTCTAGAAAGGTAGTCCCTGGTACCCCGATATACCTCGGGCCATCTACAGACGAGTAGACGACCGTGTGGGAACCCCATGTTCCCGCTCCCTGGAAGCTTCGCAACGCGCTCGCGCCGATGAAAAAAAACAATGTTCCAATGTTTCCAACTTAATTTTTTTTTTTTCAATTTTGTGCTGCACGAGTTACGTTAAGTAATATAATAATAATTTATAATAATTACAGTAATTAATATAATAATTTTTATTCAAGTAAGTAATTTGTACATGGCATACAGTGTTGTCTTATAATACTTAAATTTACAAGGAAAAACCAGTACAACAATTATGTATATACAATAGGTCATAGGACTCTCTTCCCTAAACTAGGCAGGGAACCTGTATCTTAGGTAAGAGTATCCATTTAAATAATGTCTTATATCGGTTACAAAAAAAATTTTTGGTAAATGCAGTGGGCGAACAAAGTACTTGTGTTATTAAAGAATTAAAATAATGTCTGTCTGTGTGTATGGGTGTGGTATGTGTGTGTGTGAGTGTGTGCGTGTGAGTGTGTGCGTGTGAGCGTGTGAGCGTGTGCGCGAGCGTGTGTGTGTGTGTCTCCTTGGTATCACTATATGTTAACGTCTGTAGGCATTATAGTGTTACAACATTTAAATAATAATAATATAATAATATTCTACCACATTTACACAACGCCATCTAGTCCCAAACTAAGCAGAGCTTGTACTTTGGGTACTAGACAACTGATATAAATACATATATACTTTTTTTTTGTAAATACATACTTATTATATATAGAAACACCCAGACCAAATCAAACATTAAAAGTTCATGCACACAAATGTTTGACTTGAGCGGGCATCGAACCCGTGACCTTTGGAATAGCAGTCCGTTACACAAACCACAAACGCCATCCGGTCGTCAAAATAAATAAAATAAATACAGCAAGAGTTTTTATTAAATGTTCCTTCTTTAGTTAAAATTTACTGAGTTTGTTATCAATTGATAAACCTTCAATTCGGCTTTATTGCTGTATAATTCATTCTCAAAGTTCCTCCATTTTAATATATCTAAATCTAAGCTATAAGCGATAAGCTAATCCGATAATAAATTTAAAAAATAAACGCTATAAATTGTAAGATTAACAGGCAGGTAACAACAATAAGAATTTGAGATTTAATTAATCCTAGGAAGTTTGTGAAATAATCCATAGAGTACGTGTCGTTTTTTTTTTAAATACTTAGTATTAAGCACGCATCAGGATGCAGATTATGCTGATATTTGTCCATGGCACAAACGTCAAATTTATTATTTTTAAATATCAAAAGACGCGACAACTGATTGTGATATGTTGTGCTGTGCTGATTTGTGACCTCAAGTGTCTAAATATTTCTATTAAAACATATTTTCATTAATGTTTTAAGAATTACAGATATTTTAGTATGGGGTACTCTTCAGTATCCCAGAGTAGGTGTTTCATGTGTGGTCATATTTCAATCGCAGAGTGGCACTTGACTTGGTTTTAGTCGGTTCGATAACGACACATCGCCCCGCCGAAAACCCCGGTGGGGTGAGGGCCGGAGGGGGTTTCTACACGTAAAAGAAAGGCATAACATGTGCGCTAGAAAATGTAGGTTCCTAGGGTTATTATTTTATCTTCGTGTACTTCTCTTAAAAACGCTTTCGTGAGCCATATTTATTTAAAACTAGCTGGTGCCCTCGACTGCGTTCGCGTGGAATTTGAATAACGCTGCCTTAGTGGGTTTGATTCCCGGACCGGACAAAATTTCATAGGGTTTTTTCTGAGACGTTTACAGCGCGCTCCACACGCTGGTAGAATGTCAAGCGTGGGTTGAGCAGAGACGTGACCTCGTGGCGGCCATCGGAGTGGGAATTCTCTCGCTTAGTACCATGATTGCGGTCATGGTACGGAGCGAGAGCGCGTGGAACTCCGCCGTCTCCTTTTGCGAGGAAGTTATGCTTGCGAAAAAGATGGCGGAGCGGGACCGGGAGGGGTTTAGAACTCTCCCGGCCCGTCAGGCCCGGGAACGGCCCAGGTAACGCATCCTCCATAAGCGCAGGCCAGGGGGTGACAGGACAATAAAATTGACAAAATAATAGGTTTTTTCATGCCCACACGGCTATTTGCACAATACCTATGCCTAATAACCAGTTTAAAATTTTTGCGTCTGTCTGTTTGTTCCGGATAATCTTCAAAAGGGATGGACCGATTTAAATAATGTATAAATAAAAGCAATTAATAACCTCTATACGTAATCCTTTTAATCTTATCAGAAACACTTCAACTATTGAAAACATAACTACACCTTTAAAAAGTTGGTTAAGGCTAATTAATTGTATTGTATATTTATTGATTAGTTAATAGAAGATAAAACATATTGATTCTGCTGTACGAGTAAATTGATTATATTATAAGTGTAATAAAAGATTAATCATTCAGGTTTAGTGGTTAGTGGCCCTGACTGCTAAGCCAGAGGTAGTGGGTTCGATTTCCACCTAGGACAAATATTTGTTTGATGAGTACGATCATTTGTTCTGTGTCTGGAATTAATCTGACATATTAAAGTGGGTAAAATCGAGTTCAAAAATTCCGTTACTTACCTACATACATACAGGTTAAGCTAATAAAAGCGTTTTAAAAACCGAGTATAGTTAAGATTCTGTTGTGCACTAACTCCATTTTTTTGGGCCTGTTTCAGTGCTTCGTGACAGCGGCAGTATGCACCAATATCATCGCTCATGGTTGTGTCATCGGGTTTTCCGCCATCTTGATCCCAAGTCTCCGCCTGCCCGAGTCTCATATCCACGCCACAACTAGTCAGGAATCATGGATAGGTGAGATCAGTATCATATTATTGAATTTAATATAAGTACTTTTGTTCATTTATTTTATATCCAACTAGCTGGTGCCCGCGACTTAGTGGGTTCGCTCCCGGACCGGGCAAAATTTTAAAGGGTTTTCTGAGCGAAAAAATATCCTAAGTTACTCTTTATATAGACAGCTACCTGGTAGTAAAATGTTATCAAAATCGGTCATGCCGTTTTCAAGATTACCCGGAACAAACAGAAAGACAGACAATATTTAACTGGTTTTTAGGGATAGGTATCGTGGAAATAACCGTGTCAGCATGAAAAAAACACATTATTTTGACATTACAAACATCATCGTCATCATCGACAGCCTTTACTAGTCCACTGCTGGACATAGGCCTCTCCTTAGAAAGGAGGTTTTGGCCTACTACACCACGCTGGCCAGACGGGTTGGTATAGGGTTTGTGTCAAGTTTTCCTTCTCTCTGCAGTGCTGTTGTCCTGCGTAGTTTGCTCCCTTAGTCGCCTTTTACGACACCCACGGGATGAATAGGGGTGGTGACACTCTGTATTCTTAATCCGTCACCACACGGACAAACAGACACTTTAATTTAATTTATTTGTATATATAAGTTTCTTTGAGTTGCATGTAAGTAGTGTTGCTTAGAAGATGGTCACCATTCTATCTAATATTATAAAGGACAATGGCAGGCATTTAAAGGAAATGATCCGTTGATCCGTCAATAAAATGATGACCTGTCAAATCAGTTCGATTACTTTTTTACATAATGTTTACAATTAATCTAATCGATTTGAATAAAAGTTATTAGTACCTTTTCTTAAATTAATTGATTTAAAATAATAATTCCTTTATTACTTCGTCCAATATGTACAGACAACGTTATTAATAAACAAATATTTGTTTCTGACTGCTAAATGTACCAGTAAGCTTACTCATCAATCTCGATGTAAATACATCTTTTTTAATTTAATTTATATTTTATGTATGGCAAGTTTAGAAAACGTAGTAATGCGTTTTGTTAACAAAATTTTAACGTTTAGTTATTGCAATTGTAACAATTCTTTGAGAAGAATTTATTTACTTTTAGCAAAGTTCTAAAAATATGATAATTAAATGAAAATAGTTAGGATGACTCGCTTTATAAACGGTACAAATTTCATAATTATCCATCATATATTACAGGATCTGCCGTTCTCCTTTAGAGAAAGTTGTTTGTCTCTCTGTTTGTATGTTATCACCCCTGAAATGCTTAACCGAATATCGTGAACTATTAATATGAACTATCTTTATCTTTAGATAACGTCCTATATGAATAGGGGTTTACGGCAAATCACTAGTTGGTATATTAAATGTTTAAAAAAGTTCTCAGTTATGGTGGTTTGTCAAGTGTTTATTTATAACTGAAAGATTTAAACTGTAAATGAATAAAACACAATTAACTGATATAAATAAGTCTTATATGAGTTCTAACCTCTTTAGATAACAGACTCTTGACATATTGTAGGCAACACACAAATTCTCTCAACTTGTTAAGTCCAATAACGATTTCACATATTTTCAACGCCTGCTAAAATCAGTTTATCCAAATTTTTATTTCCATACAAAAGAATATAAACCATCCATTTTTATTTTTCAGCATCCATCATTGGATTCGCGCTGATCAACGGCAATTTTGTCATCACTCCTCTCATGGACACGGTGGGAAGAAAAAAGTCACATCTACTGACGATCCCGCCTGTCTTAGTGGGCTGGTTCCTCACTCTCCTGGTAAATGATGTCGCAGGTCTCATCGCAGCACGGTACCTCCAAGGTGTGGCCATGGGCATGTTGGGGCCTCTCGGCTCCATTATTATCGGGGAAATGACAGACCCTAGAAACAGAGGTGCTTTCCTCACAGGCGTATCATTATCCCTGACAATTGGAGTGCTATTCTGCCACTCGTTAGGTGTATACTTCAGTTGGCAACAAAGCGCACTGACCTGCTCCTTTATAACTTTTATAAGTTGCCTTCTCATTATATATACTCCTGAGTCTCCATCGTGGCTGATCTCTAAAGGAAGAATTGAAGAAGCTAGAGAAGTTTTCATCTGGCTGCGTGGTGATGACGACCAGCAAATGGATGAGTTGGAGAAAATGATAGCAGCACAAGCAACAGCACGGAAAGCCAGTGTTATGGATCAGGGTTTGCCTATTCGTAAAAAAATAAGTTATTTCTTCAGATATGTTAGAAATACTCTTAAGAAGCCAGAGTTTTACAAGCCTATTATTATAATGGTGGTTTTATATATGATGTTCCAATTCGCTGGTATTAATATTATAAGCTCGTACGCTACTGACATTATTAGGCAAGTGGTTGGTCCTGACGCAAACGCCAACTTAATCATGGTCGCTTTGGATATTGAACGCCTTATCTGCAATATTTTGGCGGTGTTCTTGATGAAAACGATGAAGAGAAGAACCTTGCTCTTCTTTACTGGAGGAATATGCGTCCTTTCTTACATCGGTAAGGGAGGTTATGTATATGCTAAGCAGAACAACCTCCTATCATACGATGGTCAATGGATCCCATTATTGTTAATAGGTATCTACATGTTCTCCCTAACCGTGGGGATATCTTCGATACCATTCGCTCTTTCTGGTGAAATATTCCCTCTGGAGTACCGCGGTTTGGGCAGTGGCATCAGTGTTTTAAGTTTATCATTAAATTTCTTCATAGCTTTGAAGTGTTTCCCCGTGCTTACCAGCAGCATAGGTTTACCATTCACATATTTCTTGTATGCTGGTGTGGTGACTCTATGTTTAGCTACAGTCTGGTTTATGTTACCAGAGACAAAAGATAGAACTCTTCAGGAAATAGAAGATGAATTTAGAGGCTTGTCTCCAAATGATAGGAAGAGCGTAGAACCCTTGAATGGCAGAACTGAAATGCTGCGAAGAGTTAGTTCTCATATTATGTATTAGCATGTATTAAGGGTTTTTTAAGAAGAAGTGAGATTAAAGGAGAATGCAGATTATGGAAACTCAAATGATGAGAAAGAGTTGATGTCTTTTTTGAATTAGGTATAAATAAGTTATATAGAATGCAAATAATAAAAGAAAATAGAGAACCAAGATAGGCTGGAATGGTTTGTGGAGTATGGTATAATAATATAGTAATTTTTAGAGTACACATTGTAACAAAATAATAATTGTTGCTTAGATAATGTAGATATAGTCTTGGTGTTGTCAACTGTGAGTGTGTGAATGAGATGTAAATATATAAAATGTTGCAAATAGAGTGAGATCAGTTTTAAAACTCACTTTTTGTACCATTATTTTTCTCTCTTTAAGTCCCATAGTTAGGCAAACAAACTTTAAGTTTGACATCGGGAGTTGATTCTGTTTTATTTTACGATTTCGTAAATAAGACATGGTAACCTAATTATTTAAGTATCTTATTGTTTTGTATTATGATTAAAAAAGTGAGATCGTTGTACATGTCTACATATGCTTTATCTAAGTAGTATTTAATTAATGTATACAATTATTTATATTTGTTGAATCTAGAATGTTAATAAATTTATGTCACCCCTGTACACATGTGATGTCCATGCATGTCCTAGTTATTTTTATAGACTTTTCCCGCGCTTTTGACACACTAGACCACAAACTATTAATCAGTAAATTAGACAAATGTGGGATCCGCGGTCCACTACTTTCTTGGTGTGAAAATTATCTCCTCAGCCGCAAGTTCACCGTGAAGGTAGATAACACGTACAGCGACCATATTACAGTTACAGAAGGCACGGCGCAAGGATCTGTATTGGGGCCTCTTCACTTTTTGACATACGTAAACGACCTAGCCAAGTGTGTGAAATGGAGTTCTTGTTATCAATTTGCCGATGATACCTGTCTCGTTGCAGCACACCAGAATGCGCAAAAGGCCGCAGAACTCTTACAGTCCGACTTCGATACAGTTCTAAAGTGGTGCCATGATGCCGGTCTGGTGTTGAATGCTGATAAAACCAAACTACTGCATATTAAATCTCCATACCTGGATAAATCTCAATTCAAAGACATACGTGCACACAACCACAACTGCTTACACACGTCATTCAACGATCCATGTAGCTGCACCACCATACAAACCGTAACGACACATACTTATGTGGGGTTAGTTATTGACAGCAAGCTAAATTGGAGTAACCATATAGAACACGTATGTGATAAACTCAGACTGTTCCTTGCAAACATCACGCTGCTCAAAGACCGAATACCCTTTAAAGTCAAAAGAATGTTATACAACTCAATGGCTGAATCCTATATCCAGTATGGATTGAGTAGTTATGGTCGTACCTTTAACACATATTTAAAAAAAATATATAACTTACAACGAAAAATTTTGCGAACTATCGTTCCAGCAAAAATTAAAAAGCAATTTTATAACGATGACAGTGGGCTTTTTAAACACTGTCAAATCCTCCCGATCCAAACACAATTTAAATATAATTTACTAAAAGAAAACTTTTTTACCAATACATTTAACAAAAAAAAAAAACACACGATGTATATACAAGGGCTGCTGCTCGGAATCTTGTGTGCGAAATCAGTCGAGCGACAACAAATAATATATACGGTGAAAGAACAACCGAATACTTAGTTCCCAGATTTATTAACAAACTACCCTCCGAATTGAGAGATATTCTGACGCCGGTGAACTTTAAATCTAAAGTACGGCCATTACTTTTTAATCAAAATTAATCATATATATTTTATTTCTTGTTTTATCTGTTCGCTTTTTATTTATGAAATATTGTTTTATACTGTATTCAGAACTTTCTTATTATTATTCTTTTGTTATTATTTTTTTTTTGAAATTTTTTGTAACGATCGAGACTAACCCTTAGCATTCGTTATAAACCTTCGTGGCTTAGGAAATGCTATGTATGTTAAAATTTTCTCATTAATATGTTTACACTTTGAAAGAATAAATAAAAAAAAAAAAAAAAAAAACATTTTGTATTTTATTTTACTTTGACACTTGTTTTCGCTACTTATTAAACATTTCCTTCTTTGAATAGATAATAATCTCAGGCCAGTTATCTGGAGTTAATTTTCCTCAAGATTAAGTGAAACTGTCAAATTGGTTTGGAAAGCTAGTATGATAGCAGTTAAGAATCAACGAGAATATTTACTCAAATATATATAACCATATATCGTGTGTGGAGGAACGGGTGTCATGTCCCTCCAACACAAAGGGAGGATCCTCTGACCAGGCGAAGTGACCTTGCCTGTCGGGTCGCCTCCCAACGGCCCAATGTTGGGAAGTTGTAAATATCTCAATCAGCGGGAGAATTGTTCATATTTACATGTTTCATGATTAGAAGTTACTTTGTAGTTCGGTGTGTTTTTGGTAGATGGCGTTGTAGTATGTTTTGGTTCATGGTATGTGGATCCCCACAACGTGGTACTTTAACATAAAGACTACTAGGTGTTAAGTGTAACAATGAGACTAAACGGGATTTATACCTTGCCAAAAAAATAGAATTTTCCATGTCAATTCATAAATGACGGAGTTTTGAAGTAATAAACATAAAAAAATACATCCGAATTGAGAACTTCCTTCTTTTTGTTTAAAGTCGGTCAAAAAGTAATAAATTTTTTTTAAAACTAAACAGAGCTATGAAAGCTAGATTGACTGATAGAATACTTATAAAAATTTTTTTTTGTTAATACACATTTACTGTAGATAGAAAACACATACACACACACACATACTATCCTACACATTTAACTCAAACTGTCTTTGGTAGATATTATACATACAGTCATCATCCAATCAGCACAGTATCTTCATCGCCTCAATGGCCAATGAAAATCACTGTTGTAATCCCTTAGAACCGAAACCTGTCTCTTAAGATACATGATTTGCCTAGTTCAAGAGACATTGTTTTAATATGCAACAATTATATTTAACTTTAACTTTATATTTAACTTTATAATACTGTAATACCAATTGTGTGTGCTGTGGTAACACTTACACAAGAGCCGACTAAGGGAGCAAACTACGAAGGATAACCGCACTGCAAAGAGAGGGAAAACTTGACACAAACCCTATACCAAACCGTCTGGCCAGCGTGGTATAGTAGGTCAAAACCTCCTTTTAAATAGAGGCCTATGTCCAGCAGTAGACTATTACAGGCTGTTGATGATGATAATTGATGATGGTAACACCTTTGGACCATTTCTTTTTATCATTATTTATAGATCCAAGTAAAGGTGGCGATACGTTTCCCAAGCCTTCAATTTTGATGTGTTTCTAAATGTTAAGCTATTGCATAGCTTCTATCGCGGGCCTTGAGCGTGGAGACCGAATCCAGAAATGCCGTAACGAAAATAACCTAACACACCCCACGTGATACTTTTTAGTTTTGCCATCTGTCGATGAATAGAAGAACTTTAATGACTTTTTTGAAAAATCACGCTTGTCTCTTTAGTTCAGTAACTATATAGCAATAATATAGACAAATCAAGGGTATAATGACACAATGTTTATTGAGATCTATCTTTATTTTCGTAACATATGAATATCAAAGTTGTTCAGTTAAATAGATATCGCTAATTATTATACACTAGCTGGTGCCCGCCACTTCGTCCGCGTGGAATTCGAAAGCCTTAGTAGATTCTATATTTACTCCTTATATATAGCTACCTGGTAGTAAAATATTATCCAAATAGGTCGAGCCGTTTTGAAGATTACCCGGAACAAACGGACAGACCGATAGACAGGCAGACAGACAGCCAAAAAAAATTTAAACCGGTTTTAAGGCATAGGTATCGTGCACATAACCGTGTGAGCATAAAAAAAACATTATTTTGCCATTACAAACAGACACTTCAATTTTATTTATTTGTATAGATATGCATACATACACGTATTTGTATACTTAATCTGCTTTTAACCGAAGTTCTCGTTTGTCATTAAATTTTTTTTTTATTTCTTTCCCGGAACCTCTAATAACCGCCATCTATCACAATTTAATAAAACTATTAATTTTTGACACGTTCAAGACAAGTAACTTTTATCACGATTCATTTTTATAAAAAAAATAATATTGAAGGACCTACTCCTTGAATTGTCATTAATATTTTAATTCGGGCTTTGATTTGATAGATTTTTAATTTTAATTTAAGTTATTTCATACAGTTATTTTAGGAGTACCACTACACGTAACATTCCATAAAGTCAATTAAAGGCTTACACCATTAGATTTTTTGTTTAATTTCCCTTTTGTTTTGTGAGAAAATAATGTGATGTCTATTTTCTTAATATCTGTAATAAAGATAAAAATTTCAGTGCGATTCAGATTGTCATCAGACATAGACAATATACCTTCATGACTTTTTAAATTTTCAATTAAAAAAAAGTCGTGGTTCACGGATTTTCTACTTATTGTCTATGATCTCAGCAAAGCGGTGGCACTGAACGTTAAAATAATCTACTTCCTTCTCCGACGGTAACTGCTTCGAAGCAGTAAATCACATCCTGTAGACACCCGTTCTTCTTCATCCACATTCCACCTTCTCTAACTCCAACATCTTCTCTGCTTCATGAAGTTCCACTTGCCGTTCATCATCTTTAATGCCCTTGAAGTAACATTCGATCTCATATAAGGTCTTCCCCTTAGTCTCCGGCAGCAGAAAGTACAAGAAAATTCCACAGACAGCAATACTGGCGGCGTATACACAGAAGGTGCCTTTCACTCCAATAAGTTCGAAGGTAAAAGGCGCCGTTTTCACAACGACAAAGAACATAATTGACAGAAACATTCCAGAAATTCCACTTCCTATGCTTCTATAAGCTAAAGGAAAAACTTCTCCAGCAATAGCCCAGGGAATCGGAAGAATACCCAGAGTCTTACCGAAGATATAGACCAAAGTAGGTATGATTGGCACCCAGATGTACGCATCAGGTATGTAACCAAAGTCTCTCATGTATAGCAAGAGCGCAGAAACCAATAAAGAAATCACGCTGATGATGATGCCAAGAAAGAGTACCGTACGTCTATTGAGCTTGTTAACCACGAAACAGGAGAGTACTGCGGTAACAAATCTCACCACATCAACCATAAGCATGCTGACATTAGGGTCAATCACACCGCCGCAGACCTCGTTCATCATAGGTACGGTGTAGGAGGGTACCACGGTCATGCCAGATACTTGGAAAAGAACGAACATAAACATCATAATCACGGTTGGTTTGTAGAACTCTGGTTTCTTGACCATCTCGCTGTAAGTCTTCCATTTAGACACTTTATTTGCAGAATTGGTTTTCTTTTGACTGTTCAGTAGAATTTCTAATTCCTTCTCAGAGTTAGCATTGAATCCTCGGAAATAGCGAAACGATCTTCTGCATGCTTCATTTTGTCCTCTAGAGGCGAGATACGGTGGTGTTTCTGGTGTTAATGATACCAGGACCAGAGATAACACGTAGACGCTTCCACAAGCTAATGCAGCCGATCTCCAGTACAATAAGGTGCCGAATACGTGTGCTATCAGCATTCCAGTTGCGAAGGAAAAAGCAATGGTGGCTAAAAATATTCCACGGTGTTTGGGGGCTGAATATTCAGCGATAGAGACCGGAGCTGCAGCTGCCTGAAGGCCCATGCCGAAACCCTGAAATTGTATTAAAACTGGTCAATATTACAATCACACATAAATTTAGGGATCTTTGAAATGGGAAAGTTGACTTTTGACATATGACGACGCATATAAGTTTTCGTATCCCTTTCAATCGATTTTATAAATTTGTTGTTGTATCGAGTTGGCGCAATGTATTTCTATGCATTGCATCCACATATAATAAAACTACCATACAATAAAACTACTACATACAATATAACTACTACGTAGTAAACTAATAATCCTGATATGATGAGCATTGACAGTATTAGTTGATATTATTCATTGTTTTCACTCACCTGTAAAGATCGACTCACAAGCAGTGCTGTAGGTCCCTTCGCAGTAGCCAGTAGCGCCCATCCTCCAAGGGCTGGCAGAGAGCTAAGTTGGTTGGTCAACTTCCTGCCCAACTTCTGCAGACAGAGCGGAGCTACAAGAATGCCACTGATCAGCGCTAGACCCAGGATTGAAGCTGGAATTGAGAAAGAGATGGGTTATATTTTGTATAGAGATCTGCCTACATGTATGTAGTTTTCTTAAAAACAGATTAATATTGTTTTATTTTTGGTGGTAATTACTGTTTGTCGGTATTGGAAGTAATTATGGTCACCCATAATTGTGAGTATCAAACCAAATTATCGTAACAAGTCTTCAAAGAGGTAGTACCAAACAATAGTTAAGAAAATTAAGAAATAACGCACCCCTAACGAGTTCCCGGCTCTATCATCAGACATCTTTAAGGCTCGTAAAAACGCATCATATGAGACCCCATTCGAGGAATCTACTACCTACGGTTCACTGAAGAGTTCAGCTATCAGGCACCTAACTCCCTCAACAGATCAGTTACTACAAACTTGAAAACGCAAGCATTAGCTATTGAGCTTATGCGGGCGTTTTCGTTTCAGTTTTCAGCGTTTTAAGTTTATTTATCACTGTAACTGATCTATTAACATTGGTGTTAAGGCCGTATCAAGCAAGCCTAGGTTTTAAATCGCAAGATAGGATGGTAAAGTCCTGAACATAATTAACTTTTAGAGATTTTTCATCGACTTCTACTAATGCTACTACATCATCATCAGCCTATCACAGTTCACTGCTGAACGAAGGCCTGTCCTAAGGATGAATTGTAATTGTATCCTCCATACCTTAATTTTTCATCTTCAGGAGAGGTATTTTTTCTTCAAATTTGAATGGGACTCAACTGACTATGGTGCACCTGAATGGGCCGATAGAGAAACAGTAGGCGTTGTGCGTCTCTAACTAAGTGTTTAGGCGATTCTGCCATATATATTATAGAAATCAAGTTCACTTAGGACCCATAATATTTTGTGTGACCCTGTTTAAGAGGATGTTCACCTATTTTTACTTCATTTTGTCTCCCGCTTGGTTACGGAGGGAAGTAGATTTATTATATTTCCAACTCCTCCAATTTCTTTCTGATTAATTGAGTTGCAGGTATCAAGACAGTTTAATTTTTTCCTGGGACTTCTCGAGTGTCATAACTCGGTGTGTTCGTGGGTCACTGCTGTTGATCCTGGTGTACAGGAGTTACAGTGGTGGGCGTGTCGGAGGGATTAGTCCCGGGAAAAAAAATACGGAGTTCGGAGTTAACATTTGTCGTATTCGATCTAAAATGCATAATCTAACTGACGCATATTACCACCTGTGAATATGGTCATTTTATTTACGTAGCACTTTATGTACAACTAGCTGGTACCCGCGACTACGTTCGCGTGGAATTTGAAATGCGCTGCCTTAGTGGGTTCGATGCCTGGACCGGGCAAAATTTTCTCAGTTTTTCTGAGTGAAAAAATAGCCTAGTTATTCCTTATGTAGACAGCTATCTTTTGGTAAAATATTATCGAAATCGGTCTAGCCGTTTAGAAGATTACCCGAACAAACAGACAGACACATTTGTGTCTGTCTGTTTGTTCCGGGTAATCTTTTAAAACTTGTTTTAAGGCATAGGTATCGTCCAAATAACCGTGTAAGCATGAAAAAACCTATGATTTTGACATTACAAACAGACACTTCAATTTTGTTTGTTTGTATAGATAATTTAAACTGGACTTTGAAACCAGCTAATAAACATGCCTACATCGACAATATTATTGTAGGTCATTTCAATCAAAGTCATGTGAAAACAATATATGTACTGCCTTTAATATCAATACATCAAAGTGAAAAATAAGTTTTCAGAAGGAAAGTTAAATCACATCTTTCGTAAGAGCCGAGTCCGAGCCTGTTGGTCTAGTGGTTAGTGACTGCTAAGCCGGAGGTCGTGGGTTCAATTCCCACCCAGGACAAATATTTGTGTGATGAGCTCGATTGTTTGTTCTGTGTCTGGGTGTAATTTAACCATAATATGTATGTATTCAGAAATATATAAGTATGTTTATCAGCAGTCTGGTTATCAGCAGGCTTCGCCTAGTTTGGAATCGATGCCGTGTGTGAGATGTGTGAGGTTTATTATTATTATTGTCTTTTGAAGGGGTGGTAGACTTATTTTAGTTCCATTAACTTAAAAGGGTCAAGCTTATGTACTATTATGACTGCCTCTGTGTCACAACGTGTGCAACGCGTTTGTGACTCCTGAGTTGCAGACGTTCATGGGCGGCGATGGTCGCCTTCCATCAGGTGACCATCGCCTGCTCGTCTGCCCCTCTAACTATTAGTTATGTTTACCATTCAAATATGATTCAAATTTGTCCTCTTTCATTCACTGTCACTGTGGCGCAGCGATATATCATTAACATGCCACATTGGGGAGTCATTCTATGTAAATATTTGTAGAAGACTAACAATATAAATTCAGTATTTTATGTATAGTTTTTGTATTAACGATATTTCATATTTATATAGTCAAGGACATCAAAACCAACAAAAACTTTTAATAGTTATAACAATTGTTAAAATATAATTTGGATTCATTTAAACAATGATTAAGTAAAACATAAAAATATTTCTTCTATGGTAACACTAAATTTGCATTTCGAAATCTGAGCACAAACAATATTTCAAAGACCTTCAGTCATTAGAAGGGAAGGGCTCATATTACCACATGACTTATGTAGCCAATATGTCAGCACCTCGTGACTTATGCATAACATGTACATAACATTACATTACATGTTATGAAATATAGGTTTTACTGTAGCCTTTGATTGTGTTAACATGATACAACCATACATCGAAGTAATGATTCTGAGGAAATAGAAGTAGATATGTGGTTATGGAAGTACGTTTTAAATCATAAATGAGTCGTTTAATGATTGTAAAGATGATTGGGTTTGAATGTAAAGTCATGTTGATGGTATACCTCAAGGTAGTATGCCGAGTCCCAAAACAAATTTTTGAATGCAATTTGACTTTAAAGCTATTTTAGAAAGAACGAGGTTTTCAATTTATCCGTAGGTTTTTCTTAGCGATGTGTTTTAAATCGTTTTAAAATATGTCATTCTATATAGTTTATCAAATAATTTTTAAACTAATCCAATTGATGTGAAAATAGCACACCATGTTTTGTGTAACATCGAAAAAGCTTATTTTAAATTTAAACGAATTTCTAAATATAAAATGCAATCTCGCATTAAAGTATTGTTTGACCAATGATTCAATGCTAGCATCCAATCATCATTTCAAATAAAGAAAGAAAGTACAAACCTATCCAAGATTCGTGGTCTGGTGTGAGCCGCAGCACGGACTCTGGTTCCTTGAGCTGGACCAGCAATACACCAGGGAAAGCAATGTTGGCACCAGTACCGATCATGTACATCACCACGCCACTTACAGCCAGGAGCTGGAAGAAGAGTGATCAAATTATACAAAGTGTTTCAGAAAGTTGAGGTAAGTATACTAGGTCCCGTACCTTTATATTGAAATAGCCTTATTGAACTTGCAAATTGACCTCTAAAGTAAATATTTTGTATGGGAGAGGACTGACATATTTATTTATTTATTTATTTATTTATTTGAATAGCTGATACAAATACAAATCATGTACATAGAGATGCAACATAAACTCCTTCGAGTTTTACCGTACATCAATTTCGTCATATGTTACTTACATTGTTACAAAATATCACAAAATGCAAATACACTTAGAATAAAAGCACCAATACATAAAGCATCACAATAATTAAGTGAGGGTAGTATACAAAAATGTGTACGCAGTGCGCAATGGTCACATCGACCGCGCATCAGTGATGAATTCAACAACATTATATCGTGGATACATTTGTAATATTTTACTACACTATACAGGTTGTTCCAGGGTATGACAAATGGTCGATTTAATTTTGTAAAAAGTGTTGTTTCAATTTTATTTTTATGTTTACTTTTGTTAATGAAGTCTTTATTGATTTCGGAAGCTCATTTACCAAGAGTGGTACCATGCATTTTAGAGTTCTTTTCCCGTACAGATTTGTAAATCGTGGTAGTAATAATTTTGCATTATTGACGCTACGGGTCTTCATACCATGTGTATCACGGGCTTTGTATTTTTGAAGATCTACGTTAAAGTACTCCTCGGTTAGTAACGTTAGTTTTACCTTCTGATGTATAGGAATAATTTTGCAGAAATCAAATAGTTGTTCGTAATCGTGCTTAAATTTATTTTTTATGTTTTGTGGTACAATCTCTTTTAAAATTTTAAGTTGAAGTACATATATTTGGTCAAGGTGGCTCTTGTAAGTCCTGCCGTAGCTCGAAAGGCCATACGAGATTATTGAGTCTGCCAAAGATTTATAAAGTAGGAGGAGTGTTTTGTATGGTATGTTATGCTTAATTAATGAGAATTTGGCGAGAATAGTTCTTAGTTTATTGCAGACTTGATTTATGTGTTGCTTCCAATTTAGGCGGTTGTCGATAATTAGTCCGAGATAGGTTTGTTTCTCAACGTTTTCTACGGTGTCACAATTACAAGGAATAGTCAAATTAACGTAATTAGTCTTATGTAGACAATCATGACAGTGTGCTATAAGTTTAGGTGCCCAAATACTTCTGTTTTGGCTGGAACTAATATACATCACTTTGGTCTTTTTAATATTGAATACAAGTCCAGCATCATGCGACCATTTTAAAAGGAGGTTGAAGTCGCTTTGTAGCCAATTTTGAGCTTCGATGATATTAGTTCCCGCAGAGATTAGGCAAGTGTCGTCTGCAAACTGGTACATTTCGCAGTTTTTTATCAGGCTTTCCAGATTATTTACGTAGGTGAGGTAATGTAAGGGTCCAAGAACAGAGCCTTGAGCTGTACCTTCCTTCACTGTGATTTTTTCACTAAGCGCGTCACCAACTTTGACCATAAGCTTCCTATCACAAAAGTAGTCCCTACACCACTCTAGCAGGTTGCCTCTAATACCACTCTCAGAGAGACATTCTATTAACCTGTCATGCTTGAGCGTGTCAAATGCTTTGCTGTAGTCTATAAATACGACCAATACGTGATGTTTTTTGTCTAGGTGGTTGTATATACTATCTGTGAAAGCTGACAGTAGTTGTGCTGTATTTTTATGAGGCTGAAAGCCATATTGTTTTGATGACAGTATATTATTAATTTCATAGAAGTCATAGACTTGTTTGCAAATGTATTTTTCAACTATTTTATCTATGGTTGGTAGTATAGTTATTGGTCTGTAATTATCATAGTCAGTTTGACTGCCTTTTTTATGTATGGGCCTTATAATGCCTGTTTTCAACGTGGAAGGTTATTTACCAGTTTCTATAGAAAGGTTTATTAAGTTACACAATACCGAAATTATGCTCTTGGATATTTTCTTAATGTCAATAGTCCTGATACCATCTACTCCCGGTGCCTTATTGTTATTTAGAGACATTAATATTTTATTAATTGAATGAGACTTAGCTGGTTTAAAGCGCATTGTTACATTAGCGGTACTACTGTAGAGTGACTTGTTTAGCAGAGGTAACGAGCAATTTGGAATTACGTCTTTAACGTTGTTGGCGAACGTTCGCGCAAAATTATTAGCAATATGCTTGCAGGTGTTACGAACGTTTTTGAAAGCATTGATAACAACACCATCGATAGATTGTTTGATTCGTCCTGTCAATCGGTTCAGTATTTTCCAGAGGTATTTCGTGTTGTTCTTGTTGTTAATAATGTCAGATTTGATTTTGTTGTTTTTGGCCTTTCGCATTAAATAATTTGCATAATTTCTTGCTTTATTATAGTTTAGTTTAAGGTTCATATCATAAGGTTGTTTAATCCATGATTTATATAATTTATCTCTGTATTCGCAAGCCTTTATTATTCGTTTATTAATCCAGTCATGATTACAGCGAGAAGGTGATTTTTTTAATGGGATTTTATAATTTGACTGTTCGTAGCACTCAGTGAATCGCGTGTTTATATAATCGTACAATAAATTAGGACAGTTTATATTATGTGCGTCATCCCAAGATACTTTTTCCAATAAGTCAAATAACTTTTTGTTATTTATGCAAGTTTTATATTTTGGGGCATCCTGTATCTGTGAGCCAGCGCAGGCAAGAACAACGGCACGATGATCAGCCAGTGTCGTCCCAAGCGCTGCGGTATACAGGTCTTGTGCGCGGGATCTAGCAAAAATGTGGTCAATACATGATTTACTTAGTAATCCGTTACTTATTTCGATTCTAGTGTATTCAGTGATCCCGCACAGAAGCCCGACGCCACTTAACATGTTTTTGTATTTATGTATTACAGGATTATGCGATTTTATGTCTATGTTAGTGTCTCCTATCACATACAAGTCGCTCAACCTAGGAAAGTGATTAAGTGTAGTGTGTAGTTCATTGATGAAGAGGTTTTTGCTAGTTCTCGGGGGACGGTATATTGCACACAAACCCGCGGAATAGTTGGAGTAATAGTACATAATAAACATTCGAAGTGAATAGTTTTTATACTTTTGATGCTACACTTATGTTTGTTATTTATATATAAGATAATACCACCACCCCGACGTTCGTTTCGTAGGGCCGCGTACATACGGTAGCCTTCGATTTGAAAGAGACTGCTAATGCTTTCAGATACATTAGCTTCAGTTATAATTATGACATCAATGAGTATCTTGGACTCCTGTATACATTGTTCGAGAGCTGAGAAGTTTTTAATTAGGGATCGAATGTTAATATGAATGCATAATAGATTGATACTGTTGGTGTTATTAGGTAAATAGTTAAGAAAGTCGTTTACATTCACACAATCTGTGATCTCAGTAATCTCATTAAAGCAGTTGTCCATAAGAAATGAAAGTGTATTGTGTAACAATTGCAAACAATTCAATGAAAACTTACAGGTTTGACGATAGGGAGCGTAATTGTTCTAACGACTTTACAATAATAGGTTTATCACTATCTTCCTTTCGGGCCCTAACGACTCCTCTTTTGAACCATACATATTTGAAGCTCTGGTTGATTTTAAGCTCCTGTTTTGCATTCCAGAATAGTTGTTTGTTGAATTTAGTCATGGCTTCTCTAATATATACTGTATTTTTATTATTATTTTCTGTAGGATGGATGTCACCTACAGTCATTTTAAACGATTTAGAAGCAGCGATCCAGGTTTTTTGCACCTGTTCATTCTCTAGTTCCACAAGTATATTAACGGGTTGATCCTTTTTTGTATACCCTCGGCTTGTACTTTTAATCACCTCTTTTGGTTGGTTCAATTTTCGAGCGATATTTTCCACAACGGCTTGAATCTCTTCATTGCTTTGGTTAGGAACATTTGCAATTTCTACATATTTTGAGAGTTTTTCTTGCTCTAAGTCTTGTAGACGCTGTTCCAAGGCACCGACTCGAATTTCTAAGTGGTTGTTCTTATTGGTCAGTTCTATGTTCTTACGTTCAAGGGCTTTGACTGTTTTCTTAAAAGCATCCATACACTCCATTACTTCATCGAGCTTGGCACTGTGAAATTGCAATGAGTCATTCAACTGGACCATTTCTCTCTTGATTGCCCTTTCCACTTCTTTGGTTATATTGCTAAGCAACTTCTTAGCATTGATTTGGACGGCTTCGTCTTCCTCCTCCTCTTCTGGAACTATTATTGAGGACGTCCGCCGGGGTGTTTCTTGTTGGCAGTCGGGGCATGTCCACTCCAAACTTGTTGCAGCTTTTAGGGCTGCTATCTGTTTGTTCGTTAAGCCCGTGCATTTTGTGCTCAGGTGTACTATTTTTTCACACTTACTGCACTCTAGGCCTGGTGTAGTTTTAGAAATATTTTTGTTGCAATTATCGCACTTAGACATTTTTGGGGGTATTTGGGACAACCTGCACTAAAGACGGACAAATGGATATTAATTACTCAGTAATAATAATAAGATGATAATGGAACGTTTAGGTTTTTAGAATCAGCACAAATCATTGAAATTTAAATGTGTACCTACACCAGGAAAAGAAGAACACCAGGGAACAAAAAAAAGCATTTCTCTCTTTTTTAAATTTGCTTAATTGTTTTAAACAGTCCTAAAAAATTACCATTTTTATTTAAATAAATAAATAAATATTTTCGGGTATCTGACACACAATGCGATCTGGTTTAAACTATGCAGAGCTTGTACAATGAAAGTCAGATTGACTGATAGAATACTTATATGCTTATTGTAAAACTTTGAAACAAATATATGGAGATCATACACACATTGTTTGGTCCGACTCGAGAATCGAACTTGAGACATTAGCAAATCCACAATAAAAGGTAAACTATATCAGAAATCCTATTACTCAGTTGTGGATTACATAGAAGACAAAAACGCTTGGAATTAATCTAGCACAGGCTATATCTTAGTGGAAATGTTGTGAGAAATCCAGGTGTGTGTTTTTTTTAAATGTTTTACTTCACTTTCTTTTTTCTTTATCTTGTTTTCTATTCATTGTCTTTTTACTGACATTACATAACTGACATACTGGCACATATCAAAACAATGTTGTGGTATATTTAATGAAGCCATTGTCTGTATGAAGCCATCTTTTAATTTAAAGAGTGTGCGTGAACTTGTTTGCCCTTTCTTCTCATAAGGCTCGACCCCTTGGAAACGGGCGGTTGTAGATCAGCACAGGCATATCATAGATTTTCGATACGTATATATATTTTGACAAATATTGAACAAATTACTGCACGGATGGCGTAGTGGTTTAAGGGGTCGCCACGCCACTTACCCACATGGTGACACTTATGGTGACAGCAGTCACATATGTACGTTAACACTACACTACCGATATATATGAATGCTTTTTTTTTGTTTATGGCAAACTGTGCCGATGTCGACAATTCTGCCAAAGGCTAGTGTGTGATGAAGGTGCGTGTGTTTGTAGAGCCGTAGAGGGACAAAACATAACCTCTGAAGGACATCACTGCATATATGAATGTTACGAGTACATGAATGGTCAAAACATGGTCTCTGGGAATTGTTATTTATTCCTTTCTACCAATCAGAATCCAGCAGACGTTGTCCAGCCAGTGTGTATTGGTTATTACTTATATTATTTACTTTTATTATATTTACTTACGTTTTAAATTAACATCAATCATGTTTATTTAAAATGGATGAACTGTCTGGATGTAATTTATAGTCTACAATGTGCTTTTTTTGAGTTATAAAAAATGTATAGGTAGAATAAAACTCACGTTATTGAAAAAGCACTTAGATATGCAAATTTGCGTGGTGATCAGTCAACCATTGTTTACTTATCAAATATGGACTTTACTAGCCTCATGTTTAAGGTCATATTTTTTAATACAAGTAGGTAATTGGAGGTAGTGGTTTAAGCGGTCGCCACGCCGCTTCCTACTACGCTTGAACCCCACATGGGACGACACTTTGTGTGATCCACAAATTGCCGTTCTGAGTCTGGGTGTTCTTTGTGTCCGTTTCAGGTATGTTAGTAAAGTCCAGGATATATTCCTAATGCGGGAGTTGTCTTTTTAAGAAAAAAAATATTCAATATAAACTAAAATTTATCACATAGGAATTTCTCGTTTTACTGGTTGCACATAACATAGGTTTGCACCTATGTACTGCGTGTTATCGTGCGGTCTTGGTTTCGATTACGGGATTGGGTAGGGGGAAGTCCCCTAGTGCCGGACACATAAGGTTTTCAGGAAATAAAATTAAAACTACATCGAGAAATATGTATTTATTTATGAATTACTTAAATTAACAAAACATAAAATCAAAATCAAATAACAAAAATACAAATTCTGCGTAAACATAGTTTAGGAGTGTTAAATAAGTTTTGGTAAAAAAATAAAGGACTTTGACATTGGCACCTAGTGCCGGACGGGTTAATCTTCAAACCCCAAGCGCCGGACATTCTAAAACTTTTAGCATCTATCACATATGTAGGCATCTCCACATTCTGAAACGTCTGCACATGCTTCATGAGCCCATTATTGGCATCTGGAGCATTGTATCCAGTCCTCGTCGTGGTCTTCTAAACACACTACACAAGTCGTTTTTTCTATATTTGATACTTCAGTTAACGGCTCCTTTTTGTTGTCGTTATTGCCACGTTTGGTTTGTTTACTCATGGGGAATCTTCATAGCTTCAGCCAAGTCGTAAGCTAACTTCAAAAACTCGTTTTTCATCAGGGGCAGACATCTATTAGACAAATCTCTTATGTGGTCCACTAAAACTTGCTCATACTCGGGTGAGAAGGTTTTTGTGAATCTACCAACTTTTGGTTGCAGCGTGACTTCTTTTCCACTGCTCAATGTCGTTATTTTATCATGTAGAGTACTTTTTGGAACATTGTAACGTGACGAAGCTGCCCTCAAACTCATTTTTTTGGACAAAATCTTGTTCATCGCAGTTTTTAAACTTTGCTGATCCCATTTTCCTTTTTTTTTTTCTCTCTTGCATTTTCAAATATCTCTCTCCTTCTATCCTGTAAAACAACAAACAATCATCATTACAATAAGTACAAATGCTTCATAAAAAAGCTAACCTATAAACTGTCCGGTGGTAAGGGACACCTTTGTGTCCGAAAGTAGGGGACAGGAAACGTCCAAAATTACGTATTTCATACTAAAACTGTTTAGGTATTTAATAAAAACTTTCACAATATAATAATTATAGTGAAACACTGTCTTTATTAACAAATAACAAAAACAATTAAGGATAAAACCATAGCAGTAATACTTACTTGAAATTTACGTGACGCAACGCTTTCCCACCAAAAACAGCAATTCACGGCTTCCACCACGTCTGTGCGCCTCACTGGCAAATCGCGTAGCGTGATCCTGTCTCGCTACGTTCCCCCGCACCCCTTTCACCGATTTATAAATAGATCGCGTTGACGTTTGTCAAAATAGTATGAGTGTCCGGCGCTAGGTGCCGTCCGGCGCTACGGGACTTCCCCCTACCCTTTGAGGGTTTATCTAAAGTAGGCTGTATTTAATTCTCTCCAGCAGAGTGGACACTAAAGATAAGCATTAACTTAACCTAATATTTTGTACATACATATGTCCAAATATGAGGCTTTTTTTTTTAAATTTAAGTATTATTATCTATAAGCATATTTCTGGTCTGCAAAAGGCTTATTCGAGCAAATAAAAGTGCTGGAAGAAGATGCTCGGCATATCGTGGACGGAGTGTCAACCAACGTGTCCATACTCCAGGAGCTCGGTATCACAGAACGTCTGTACTTTGGCTATGTCTCTGAAAGCGACTCCATAGAGCGATTGTTAGTGCAGGGAAAGGTGGAGGAAACCAGATTCGCAGTGAATTCCACATTAGGAAGCCTCCTATCTAACTGTATACGAAAGTCTGCCAACAGGGAGAAATGGCGGGAGATCGTACGAAAGGCTTACGTCCACCTTTACCGCCCACGTGGACATCTCTAAGTGACACTGACCGCTCTGCCAAGAGCGACACGACACATCACATCATCATCAATAGCCTTTAATAGTCCACTGCTGGACTTAAGCCTCTCCTTAGAAAGGAGGTTTTGGCCTACTATACCACGCTGGCCAGACGGGTTGGTATAGGGTTTGTGTCAAGTTTTCCTTCTCTCTGCAGTGCTGTTGTTCTGCGTATTTTTTTCCCTTAGTCGGCTCTTACGACACCCACGGGATGAATAGGGGTGGTGACACTCTGTATTCTTAATCCGTCACCACACGGACAGGCTCATCTAGTTTATAATATAGAAACATACCTGGTGTAGAAAAGGAGATACGTAGGTGCTCTCCGTCATGATGCTGATATTCTTCTACTTCTTTTTAGTGCAGCGTAAGTAGGTTTGAATCAAATACCTGAAAAGAAAAAGAAAAACCAATTAATTTAGTTTTATATGTTGCTTGCCGTGTGCATTTGAAATTAGTTTGGTCCCTAACACTGACGCAAAGTCCCTGCGATGGGGCCCCTTTTTATATACATAAAATGAGGTGGCACCGCCCCGTTTGAATTTAGTCGCGTATTACCAATATACACACATGAATTAAACTAAAAAAATCTAATTAATTTCATCTCTTCTAACCTCACTTACTCAGTGAAAAGTACCAATAAAACAGATTAACATCGGTTTGCTGGGAGGCCGTGGTATCTATCACTCAGGTCCAGAGTGCCCATTTGTGCTAAAGCCATGTCCAAGAATCCAACTAGGCTATCTCCATACCAAACTTAATCTAAATCGGTTTAGCAGTTCTTCCTGATACAACCCCTTGAAGGATAATTTCTGGGATAAAAACTATTCTAAGTGCTTTCCCGAGACTCAAACTATCTCTAAACCAAATTTCATTTAAATCGGTGCAGCGGTTTAAGCATGAAGATTTAACAGACAGGCAGACACACTTTCCCATATATAATATTAGTATGGATTTATGCGTTTATAGTGAACTAAAACGGTACAAACCAATTACAATTATTAACATGGCGTTAGAATTATTAAAATTACAGCAAACATAAAATAATAAATCAGTTAGGTACAAGAAAAACAAAAAGTAAAAAAAATACTGTAAAATTAATACAAATAAAATATTACAAGTTTATACCATTTATAAGTTATAAGACTACTTAAAAACTAATATGGGACAGTGCTGCCGTGTCAATCCAAAAGACTATAACTCGACTTATAGTGTTTTGCCCTAACAACGTTCAATCAGTTTCTTTACGTCGGTTTAGTACCCCTCATCAACACTTTTGTTATTCTAAAGTGTATTTTAGAAGAGACAATAAACTAAAAATCCTGTATTGTATTGAAATTAGAGTTTACACATGGTAAAAAACTGTTATCCGTGTGGTGAAGGATTAAGAATACAGAGTGTCACCACACCAATTCATCCCGTGGGTGTCGTAACAGACGACTAAGGGAGCAAACTACGCAGGACAACAGCACTGCAAAGAGAAGGAAAACTTGACACAAACCCTATACCAACCTGTCTGGCCAGCGTGGTATAGTAGGCCAAAACCTCCTTTCTATGGAGAGGCCTAAGTCCAGCAGTGGACTATTCAAGGCTGTTGATGTGAAAAAACTGTAACAAAACTTTCAAAGTCAAATGTTGTTTTCGAAAGTTACAGTGCATTGGATTGGCACGGCTGAGTGGCGTCTCTCACATACACTTCATATTCTCTTGCAAAACATTAAACATACACTCACAATTTCACTCCATTTGTCTACAAATAAATAATACTCAGGGTTGTTGATCAGGAGGGTATTGAACGCTCCTAGGGTACGTCACACAGGAGACTCCGCTCTGGCGACTGCGTGACATTCCAGCTGCGTCAACAATTTGCGTAGGCGGCTTCGAATTAATTGTGAAGTTCAGGACAGTAGATTTCTTCTCGAGGTGGTTTATAAAAATCCATGCCCAACGGTGGGGCAATTTATAAACATATTTCAAATTCAAATTTCAAATTTCAAATTTCAAATTCATTTATTTGCAGAATGTAGTACATACAACAGATGTCAATAATTACAATACTGGTTCAGTACATTCTACAATGACAATGGTGTGCAAAAGGTGTCATAAAGTGCTGCACTAGCAGCTCACAGTCCATACTAGGTCAATTTTATTATTAAAAAGTTCTTCTATATTCGAAGATTGCAGGTTCGGGTCCTGTCACCTAGTTATGTCTATTCTCAAGACACTGGAGCTTTGACGCTCAATAAAACGATGATGAATAGCGAAGATAATTGATTTTAATGTAAATATTCGTTTTATTATAGTAATGTTCACAATTCGTGTCGTTCGTAATGAATTTTGAATAATAAGTGTACATGGTAGGTAGTAATTTTTCTTTTCTTAAAAAATCACATATTTCCAACTACCGTCATAACCGTTTCCGTTGTGAATGACTGTCAGGCGTTAACATCATCCCCCCCGTTAAAGGTCTCCGACCTTTAACTTTCTTGAAGGTGCTCCGTCGCTGGTAGAGGGCAGAGCCGTGTGAAAGACCTTCGGTAGGTGCCATGGGTGGTTTGGACGTCTGCAACGCGAGCCACTCCATCAGGACCAGGAAAAAGTTTCGTAATTCGACCAGAGCGCCAACATAATGGTGGTAGGTTTTCCTCCTGCAGCAGAACTAGGTCACCAACCTTCAATGTAGTGTCGTTGGTGCGCCACTTTGTTCTTTGTTGAAGTTCAGACAAATACTCCTTCTGCCATCTTCTCCAGAAGTGCTGTCGGATTTGCTCCAGCCGTTCATAACGCTTCAGCTGAGTGGACTTGCAATCTTCTAGGCTTGCCGAAGGTAGCGCAGTTAGAGGCCGCCCGATTAGGAAGTGTCCAGGAGTGAGAAAAAGGAGATCATTGGGAGACGAGGACATAGGGTAAAGTGGACGGCTATTTAACAAGGCTTCTACCTGTGCAAACAGTGTGGATATTTCCTCAAGCGTTAAATGCGTGTTACCCATTACGCGTCTAATGTGAAACTTAGCTGATTTCACCCCGGCCTCCCAGATCCCACCAAAGTTTGGGGCGTAAGCGGGAGAAAATGAAAATTTAATTTCTTCCTCGTGTGAGAACTCTGTTATGGCCTTGTGATTACGTTTTATAAAATCACCAATTTCTTTGGCGGTGGCCACAAAGTTGCGGCCGTTATCGCAAAAAATCTCGGCAGGTTTACCACGACGGGCAATAAATTTGCGTAAAGTAAGGATAAAAGCGTCCTTCGAGAGATCACCTACTGCCTCTAAATGTACGCATTTATATCTCATACAAACGAAAATACATAAATAACATTTAATAATCCTGGATCCACGACCCCTTTTGTTTAAAATAAAAAACGGTCCAGCAAAGTCTATGCCAACACTTATAAATGGGAAATCCACCGTAACGCGCTGAGAGGGCAAATTCCCCATAATGGGTAATAAAGATTTGCCTTGTACCCTTCTGCATTTGACACAATTGTGTGCGGTCCTCCTAGCCAGGTGTCGACCATTGATAGGCCATATGTATTGCCTAACGCTAGCCAAGAGAAGTTGCGGGCCAGCATGTAACTTATGTAAATGTTCCCTTTCAAAGATAAGTTTGGTGAGATGATGGGATGAATGTAGTAAGATGGGATGTTTGCTATCAAATGCAATAGCTGAAGCATCCAAGCGGCCTCCTACTCGAATTAATCTATCTGTGTTCATGAAAGGTGTCAACGATAAAATGTTAGACCTCGAACTAAGAGGTTTTCCTTTGGATAACAGACTGTATTCAACAGGAAAAGATTCCTGTTGCGCCATGCGACATAAAAACTGAAATGAATCCTTTAATTCTTCTAAACTTAGCGCGCCAAGACGTCTAAGATTTGTAGGGTTACGCAAATTGTGTAAAAATCTTAAAACATATGCATAAACCCGTTTAATTCTATGCAGTTTACCATAATTTTCAAATGGAATTATTGAAGGGTTATCGATTTTAGCAGCAATGTTAGATTTTATCTCAGGAATTTCGAGCCCCTGTTGGGACTTATTAGCTAATGAAGGCCAAGACAAATCATCTTGGAGTAGAAATCTGGGTCCTGACCACCATAAATCACAATTTTTGAGCTCTCCAGGATGCACGCCACGCGAAATAAGATCAGCGGGGTTGTCAAGGGTAGGTACATAACGCCAGCAAGAAATATCTGTCAATTCGAGTATTCCCGCTACCCTGTTTGCCACGAAAGTTTTTAATTTTCTGGAGCTAGTATGCAGCCATGTAAGGACGACACTAGAGTCGCACCAATATACCTTACGTGCTATTGGGAACCTCAGAGACTCAACCACAGCTGCGGAGAGTTGTGCGGCTAGTAATGCAGCTGCCAACTCCAAACGTGGTATAGTGCATGCCTTAATTGGGGCCACCTTTGACTTTGAGCACAAAAGTTTAACATGTACGGTGCCAGTGTTATCAATGGACCTTGTATAGATGCAAGCGCCATAGGCTCTTTGGGAAGCGTCGCTGAACGTATGCAGCTCGGTTACCACAGGTGTTTCACATAGACGGCCTGTGCCTTGGCCGGAACACCCCCGTGGGATTTGGAGGCGGAAGTGCTCGCCGAAGTTTATCGGCGAGTGGCTGACTTCCGGGCGGAGAGCGGATTTCGCCCTCCGCCCGAAGACGTGCGCGAGTGGCGCGAAGCCGCTCGCCGAGCCACCATGGTGAGATGGTCGTTCCGGCTGGAGACTCCACGCGCTGGCTTCGCCGCCGTGGAGGCTCTCCAGCCGGTCATCGCCGAGTGGGCAGGGCGGCAGCACGGGACCCTTTCCTTCCGGCTGACGCAGGTGCTTTCCGGGCACGGTTGCTTCGGAAAGTACCTGCACTCGGTCGCTAGGAGGGAATCGAGTCCCGCCTGCCACCACTGCGACTGCAGTGAGGATTCGGCCCAGCACACGCTGGCGGTTTGCCCCGCATGGGCGACGCAGCGCCGGGCCCTCACTGCAGTCATCGGAGCAGATCTCTCGCTACCGGCCGTAATTCGCTCCATGGCCGGTAGCGACAGTTGTTTTACCGCGGTCGCAACCTTCTGCGAGGAGGTAATCTCGCAGAAGGAGGCGGCGGAGAAGGCCCGGGAGGACGACCTCCACTCGGACCTGATTCGCCGCCGGCGAACCGGGCGGCGGAGGCGCGCTTACCTGCGCCTCATGCCGCCCTGAGTGTGGCCGCGGGTGGACGGGATGGGTTCTCCCCTCCACCCGCATTAGTTGGCCAGCCGCGAGGGGGCGGCGTCCGCGTGTGCCGGACGCCGCCTAAAGAGAGGGTCCACTGAGACGGGGCCCGCACC